CATCAATCAATAATATACATCAATTTGTTTTACATGGTATCAGAGCAAGGTTAAAGATCTTGGTGTTCTTCGCCTTTCGGCGGGCGGCAACCTTGCCTTGACCGCCCGCCGGATCTCAACCAATTCAAACCTCCCTCTCCCTCTCGGCACCTCACTGTTGCCATCACTCCCTGATGACACACAGATACATGCATACACTAGCTCTCTCTCTTCTCTTCCTCTCGGAAAACACACAGACAACCTCACCACCCCAGCTCCGCCGAATACTCTAGCCCCAAACCAAACCACCACGTCCACTCGTCTCAACCAAATTGTTATACCAAAACCCATGAAACAACAGATTACTTTAGCACCAGAAATTCCACATGTCAGCACAAGAAAAGTGATAGAGCAACCGATTATCCGGCGGCAGCCTCGCCGGACCAACCCGGTGGTGTGGTGTGGAGCAATCCTCTGTATGATTTTCAGCATCCTCCTCATCTTCTTCGGAGTTGCAACTTTGGTAGTCGTCCTCTCGCCCTCTCTTAATGTCTGGTCTCAAGTAGTTGGTCCACCTCAGTCTGCAACTTTTTTCACATCTCAATAGGCCAGCTTGCTTAGGAAGAGCACGCCAGTTTCCATGGCCGTGTTGTCGTATGAAAGCGATCAAAAGTTGATCTTCTTCAGCTGTCCATGGCCCTTTCTTCAGTCCCATCTTCTCACAACAAGGAGCTCTCCCCATCCTAGTTTGTTCTTTCTGGGACTCACTCTGCTGATCTGCCTCTCTCTCTCTGATGTACCTGGAAAAAGAGGTTCTAAACTGAAAAGCTCTGCAAAGACACCTGCTGGAATGATGGATTCACATCCTCCGCCGGAAGAAGCTGCCGTCGCCACCGTCCCTCCGTCGCAATCCCCGCCTTCTTCCGCCTCCCCTTCCCGCTCCCGATCTGCATCGTCCTCTCGCCGATCTGCATCGTCCGTCTACGGATGGCTCTGTCGAAGGACCTCTTGAGAACCTTCCCCCGTCGTCAAGCTCCAGCAGTTTACCTGGAACAGGGAGCGCAATATCCTTTTCTGGAGTGATGGATTCACAGTAGATGCTGGTCCCAGAAGTATTCCCATGGAGGGTACCTCTCTCATAATCACCCCACATGCCCCAAGCTCTTTCACTTAAAGCAACCAAAAAAAAAAAAAAAAAAAAAAAAAAAAAAAAAAAAAAAAAAAAAAAAAAACAAAATCATTTTCCACTCTGCACTCACTTCCCTCTTTTATTTCTTTATTTAAAACACTTTTCCACTTTCCAACCCACCATTCTTTTTTTAATCACCCCACTTTGCATCCACCGCCCAAAATTAATTGGTGCACTCCCTTGTTCCCCACACAATCCTTTTTTTTAATCAACCCACTCCCTCACTTTCTTTAAACCCCTCCTTCCCTCACATGGGCTTGTCCCCTCTCTCTCCTCCGTTTGATTTCAATCTCTATTATTTTTATTTATTTTCTCCAAATCACTTTCCTTATTTCCCCCATCTTTCATTTTTGATTTCACATATATTTTTATTATTTCTTTTCTTTATTTTTCTTTCACATTATTTTTAATCTTTTTCCAATTCCATTCATCCCATATAACTTTGCACACCAACCATATTTTATTCATCTCCGGGATCAACCCCGATCACAATTTTACACCAAAAAAAAAAACAAAAAAAAAAAAAAAAAAAAAAAAAAACCAAAACCAACACCAATCGGAACAGTGGGATTTTTCTTCTCTACTCTGCCGCCGGTCTTTTCTTCTTGCCTCCGTCCTGGGCGGTCCTTGACGGTGCTGCCTCCGTGTTTTCCACGCCGCCGAGCACGTTCACTCCCCCATACTCCTCCACTGCAGCATATGGCGGACCTCCAAATCGGAACATCACGGTGGCCTTCCGCTTCGCCTTAAGCACACTTATCTCTGCTCGCGCATCCTTATACATGCGTTAGAGCAGAGCCAGTTGGGAGTTTAACTGTTGCACCTCATTTGTCCTACTTTGCAGCCGGTGCGACAAGTTTGTGACTGCCGTCATGGACTCCACACAGGACTTCAAAGTATACTGATTGGCCTCAATGTCCGTTTGCACTGCCATTCTTTGCTCCACCGACCGCATCGGAAAGTTCAACGGAGCAAACACAGAGGTGTTTGGTTGCGATTCACTGGCCACCACACCAGTTCTCTCTCCTGTGGACTCGTTCAGGTCGGGAAAGAGAGTAAGCAGCCCACGGGACGACGAAGCCATCTCTCGCAACAGAGTGTTACAGCCTCTCTCTCTCAGCACAACGAAGAGTTTTACAGAGGCTTTCGCAGGTTTTTTGCTTCTGCCTCGGCCTCAGGCTCTGTCTTGGTTAAATAGCCGAGGCAGCCACGCGCATCGCGCGCCTCTTGACGCCAGACAAACGGGCACGCCAGCCAAAGCACTCACGTGCCTCGCCATCATATCTGGCACGCCTTTTGATGCATCGGGCACGCCTTTTAATGGCACGCCTTTTGACAGATTGGGCACACCTTTTGAGGGCACGACTTTTGAGGGCTCGATATCTACATCCATGTATATCTTTTGGGCAGCCTATCTACACACTCATACAGTGTCTTCTACACCGGTCCGCTTTATCAATCCCTTTGTTTCAACGTCAAATAGGTTTCTCTCTTCACACCTATTTGAGTTTGAGGGGGGGTTATACACAGTATCATGTATAAGTCGCTCATGGCGCACTCCCTAAGTCGCCCCCTTGGTGTACCACCACAATATGCTACAACGGTTCGACACGACCCCATAAACTGTCTTCTACATCGGTCTGACACGACCACACTGTGTCCTGCTACATCGGTCCAACATGACCCCGTAAACTGTCCTGCTACATCGGTCCGACATGACCCCGTAAACTGTCCTGCTACAACGGTCCGACATGACCCCATAAACTGTCTAGCCAATAGCTTCTTTAGAACCTTTGGGGCATTCTCATTCATCATTGAAGGGCTTTAACGAGCAACCGCTAACAATCGTGTTTCTGTTGTCTGCAAGAATGAAGGCTAGGCACTTCAGTATACTTCCTCTGTAGCACTTCTTCCTCTAGATGAACTTAAAGGGTCACTTTCTATTTTTTGTCAATCAATAAGAAAACAGTGATGACGTCAATTTTCATGCCGCTCACTAATTAAGCTATAGGAGTGCATCAATTATGTTAATGTAAATTGTAAATAATAAATCACCACTCCACCTACCACCTACACCTACACCTACTACCACATTTTCTTCTATATATATGATCATTGTAAACATAACAATACACATCTATCAATAACATCAATAACATCAATATATATACAATTTCTCTCTTTCTCTATACATTAATTCTTACAAATTATTCTGTGGATTGTCTGCAGAATGTTAGTATGGTCATAAATGCTCTGTAAATTTGTTGTTGATCTTGAACTTTGTCCGACTCCATTTAATAAAAATGCCTCTTTTGCCATTTCATTCTAAGCATTGTGTCTTTGCATGAATGAGTTCGTAAATTGCAGTACCTTTTATCCAAAACTACCAAATTGTAATTTCTACCATATAAGAACCATGAAATTCTTTCTATACAAAAATCATGAAAATCCTCACAATTGGTTGCCAAATTGCATGATCACTAAATTTCTTAGTAAACTGGTTTGGATCTGTCATCTTGCACGTACTAAGATCAATCAAACAAGGAGTGATGTACGTTACCCATTATGGCACAAAATGTATGTATGATAGTTGTTTTATTTTTGGCATTCTTAATTCAAAGATCCAAAATTCGTGTACACACTTGCTTACGCTTTTCTTCAACAAGTTGATCCCAAACTTGATGGTAACTTACGACACTAGGACAATTATCATTTTTCCCTTGTTCAATCAATCAAAACATCAATAATAATATACATCTCAATTTATTTTACATGGTATCAGAGCCGGTTTAGAACCTAATATTTTCGCTTCACCGGCGGACGGCAACCTCACCTTAGCCGTCCGCCGGACCTCAACCTCAACCTCACCTTCCCACGTATATTGTCTCATGAAATCTGCATACAGCCATGCACGGGTTCTTTCTTGCTCTCTCCACGTATATTATCTCATGAAATCAATGATCCCTAGAACCAGCTCTTTGCTCTCATCATCCACCCCCACCAGCAATGAATAATCCATCACGTCAACAGACGCTAGAAAAGAAGTATCATTCCAAACAGCCCGTTCGAGGCTTCTCTTTGCCGCGCTCCCAACTTATCCCCCCCCCCCCCCCCCCGCCACGAGCAAGGCGGCCTCTTCACCGCCGGGGGCTACGCACGCGCCTCCGGCCTCCCCAGCGTCTGCATCGCCACCTCCGGCCCCGGCGCCACCCACCTCGTCCGCGGCCTCGCCGACGCCATGCTCGACCTCGTCCATGTCGTGGCCATCACTGGTCCCGTCCTCTAGGGAAGAGAAGCATCACAAGTCAAGTAGCAGAAAATGGAGATCTCTTCCAGAGAAAAATCCATCCAAGAACTGCAGCTCAACCATATCTTCATGCGGAACACTTGACTTTACTATCTCTCTCAGTCACTGTTTTTTTTTTATATTCTAACCCATCCTCTTTTCTTTCTTTTCTTTTACTATCTCTCTCTCTCTCTCTCTAGTTGAGCCGAGATTTTTTTTTTTTTAATTTTTCTCTTCTTTTTTTTACAACAAACATAATCATCTCCTTTTACCCCCACTTTATCTTTATTTATTTTATTTTATCATCTCTTTTTCTTTATCTGCAGCTGCTCCCACACGGCACATGCTTTCACTATTACTATATATATTATTATTCTTCTTATTATTCTTACACAATCAAACCCTTAATATATTCTTATTCTATAGTTTTCAAGCCCACGGTTTTCCATTATTATTATTATTCTTATTATTATTATTATTTTTTTTTTGGCAAAAAAAAAAAAAAAAAAAAAAAAAAAAAAAAAAAAAAGGGGTGTCAGTCAGTATATGTCAGCTCCTCGCACACCTTATTATGATGCCCTGCTTCACATTTTTCGCTATCTCAAGGGCACTCTATTTCATGGTCTTCACTATTCCTCTCTATCTTCTCTTAAGCTTCATGCTTATTCTGATGTTGATTGGGCTGGGAATCCCACTAATCGTCGCTCCACTACTAGCTTTTGCTTCTTCCTAGGAGATTCACTTATTTCTTTGCGTAGCAAGAAACAGACTCTCACTGCTCGCTGTAGTACTGAGGCTAAATATCGAGCTCTTGCAGATACTATCCAGGAAATTCTATGGCTTCGCTGGCTTCTTGCTGATATGAGTGTCGTTTCTACTGATGCGACCTCTCTCTACTGTGACAACCAAAGTGCCATTTAAATTGCTCATAATGATGTTTTCCACGATCGCACTGAACATATTGAGATCGACAGTCATTTTATCCGCCAGCATGTTATTCGTGGCACAGTCTAACTCCATTCTATTGCCTCTGCTGGTCAGCCTGCTGATATCTTCACCAAGGCTCATCCCCCTGGTCATTTCAGTGACTAAGTTTCCAAACTCATGTTGGTTGATGTCTATCCACCTTGAGTTTGAGGGAGGCTGTTAAGTGTATATATTCTGTTAGTGTATATATTTGGTATAAAGTATTTACAATACACCTACCACACCTACTACACTACCACCAATGTATTCTCTCCTATATATAGGAGCTCTTTGTACAAAATTCATAGATAAGATTTACAACAATATAATCTTCTCTCTATTTCTCTCTTTCTCTATACATTAAACTAACAGATTGGATTTGATATGTGTATATATATATGTATGTGTATGCATGTACACATGATCAAGAAGGAAGGAAGAGTGGAGCTGCAAATGGTTGAAAAATATAAGTAGGAAAAAAATGGTGTCCTTTGTAAATTTGAAGAGATATAAAGGGTATTTTTGTCATAAAAATTGACTCACTCTCTATAAAGGCGTGTGACTTTCACACTCCGCTATCTTAAACAGAAAAGTTAACCATGCGTTTTAGCTCACAAACCACATGGGAGTTATGTGGTGATGTTTGAATGTCAGGAGGGTAAATCGCACCCGGCCCAAAACACGGGAGATAATGTGAAGTTTGCCCAATAAAATATGACAGCCTAGCCACAAGCAATCAACATGAAAGTCACCTAAAAGAAGCAAAACCAATAACGAGCAATGAACTGAAAGCCACGCCAAAAGGAATTACAAAGCAAAAAGCCACTATCAGAAATCCCATATCAAATGGAATTTCAAACCAACTGCAATTCCAGAACATCCTACAATGAACATACTAAACTCATACTAAAGCAACCTCCAAGTCAAATTTGACCCTCAAAGAAAAGGAAAGAGCGCCATGGCTCTGAAATTCCTTTATCAAAAAATCGAAGCAGCATCATTGCTTACGATACTTATCATGTGAATTCTTGCCTTGATAATCTGGTCCAACTCTGCAAAATTCTTCCTTTCCTTTGTGTTAAAGTATACAATACAACACACACCAGCACACACCCACTAGCATCACATGTTCATATCACACTGTAAAGCACACACCAGCACACAAGAAAGCTTAGTTTAATGTATTGTAATATACACTTCGGTCACCTTCTCCTCTCTATAAATAGAGAGAGCTCAGTCTCTTGTAATATATAGAAATACAACAGACACAGAAATACAGAGTTATTCATTTTGCTCTCTCTCTCTTTATCAATTTATCTTACACCGGCAATGGTGAAGATCGAGGAGTTGTCCGGCGCCGGAGCGCAGAAACTCCGGTGTAGTTGCAAACACCAGATCCGACCCAATCGGCTGTGAGGTTTTGGGGATCGGAGAATATGGCTTCTTTCCAAGCTTGGAAAGCAATGTGGGCTGTTCGGAGACGAGGGTTTGGGAAGACCAGAGATGGCTTAACGGTCACAAACTCGCCTCTGTCTCCGAACTCGTCTCTGTAGTACAAGAGCTGTCTTTGCTTGATGTACAGAGCTCCGGCGTCGGTGAGGATGCCATTGACGGCGAAGTCGTAATGAGAAGTAGCAGAAGAGATGAAGAAGAAGAGAGAGAAAAGAAAGAAGTGTAGAGAGAGAACGTGGGAGAAGAAATGGTGGGTGGAGGTGGTGGTTTTCATTTCTTCAGCAAAGAGAAATGAATAAAAGCGATAGCGGAATTGGATAGGTATTCTGGTCATCGTAAGATAGTTTGGGGGTGTTTGGCGAAAAAAAAAAAAATAAAAAAATAAAGTATTTTTTTAGGTTGAAATTCACAAAAAAAAATAAATAAAATAGGCTAAAATAATTAATAAGATAAAATATCATATCAAATTTATAATTATTTCATTTTTTTTCTTATAAATATCATATCTAACTACAAAAAAATCTAATAATCTTCCTAAATACAAAAATTTTAATCTACTAAAATAACAATTTCTCAAACACCCAATTTGTCTTTATAGGCCTAACAAATAAACGTGAATCTTTGGCAATTTGATCCGAACATCCTTTTTTAAATAGAATTATGATTATAAAATTCTAATAAAAATAATTAAATAAACAAATAAAAAACCCTGCGAGTGTATATCTCACATAATTAGCATGCCTGACATCTAAAATCATACAAATTATATCATCAGCACGTCCAAGACTCAAGATAGAAAGATAGAGTAATATGACAATACATTTCAATTTATTACGACCTCACATGTTCAAATATATATACGTCATTACTTATACAACTATAGGTAACTGAATAGTTTTTCAATAAACACACTAATGAAGTAGTACACACACAATTAGAAATCATACAACAATTTATTATTTATTATTTACTTTTGCTTTTTAACTAATTGGAAGAAGCAATAAGTTTTGTCATTGGCTATAAGGTGGGTAATCCATCATACTCCAATCTCATCAACTTGAACTCAATAATGTATAACTGCACACCAAAATGTTGATGAAGTCAAATAAAATAAAATAGACAATTAAAAAAATTATTAGAAGATGCATGAAGCATTTTGAATTTAATCATTTAAGAAAATAAAATTCAAAATGTTTTCAATAGGAACTTTTTGATTTTAAAATTGAGAAGCAATTTGTGAAGGAAGAAACTAATGAATAAAATAAAAATTCAAATAATTTCTTGTATTGAATGAATACGTACAGGTGACTTTTGATTAGTTTTTTTTTAGTAAATTCTTAGTAAAGGGACTCAAATCTTAATATTATGTTTTGATTTTGAATTTTGTTGTGAGGTGTTTTTTGTTTTTTACTATATGTTTAGATTTATTGTCAGGAGTTCTTTATAAAGGGAGAGGACTAAGAACGTATCATGTATATCTTGTGTTCTGTATGATTGTTTATTTATTTATTTTTTTATAATTGGAATGATTAAATATACATAACATATTTGTCAAGAAAAAAAATTGAAATAAATAAATTTAGCTTATTTTACTTCATTTTCTTCTTATTTTTTGTATTTCCTTTTTATTTGAATTCACAATCCCTTCACATATTCATGATTTTTTAAGATAGCCTAAAGTAAGAGTGTTATACCTGAGCTTAAGTTGCACCAAGGTAGCAGAAAGTGTCCTAAACAAAAAAAGGTTTTGCTGCTTGCCAATGATTTCATCAATTACCTGTCCAAATATATAAACATACATTAAAAAGTTGTTAGTCATACTCATCAGGAATTTAGCAATGTTGTAATGGGATTGTTTGGTGCAAATTATTTGAATTGTTTATAATTTTTTTATTATTTTAAAAATGTGTTAGATTGTTTAGTGAACCTTCCATTTATAGATTACAAAAAAGAAATAGTTTAAATAAACTGGAGAAAAAAGAAAAAAGAAAAAAAAAAGAATAAGACTATTTAGGATATAGAGGAGGGGTTTTTTTAATTTTTTATTATCAACTTTAACTTACAATAAGCTGCACCAAACATACCAAATAAAAAGAGCTTTTACAATACACACTCCTATTTTGGGGTGTATCACATGCAATTTAAGACAATTTGTTTGTGATTTTAATACCACTTTCAGTCATAATGACCGCAATAAATTATAATTAAATATCGCTTTAGATATAACTAATAAATTCTCTGGTTAAACCAAAATAATAATTATAGTAAGTCATAAATACATTATAACCAACACTACAACGAATTATAACTGTCATGACCCGCTCCCCGTACCCAAGTGTTAAGCATCGTGATGGATAGTAACTGAGGTTACGTACGGCCAATTCTTAAACAAATCAAATAACGCAAGCGGAAGAATTATTTAAATAAGAGTACCAAAATAATTATTGGAGCTTCTATTTTTATTACAAAATATATTGACCAAAAAGGCAGATATTTACATATAAATAATATCATAAAAATACTGTGTGTGTCTATTCCGCAACCTGACTTTCCAAAAAGCTATTTCTGAATTGCACGGTTTCTTGAAAATTGGTAAACAACTATAAGCACATGGCAGAGTGAGAAATATTATATCAAGAGTATAAAGGACACGAAATAACCATGGATAGTTATGTAGCCAAAACATTTACATAAACAAATCATTTGAGTAGTAGAAATTGTTTAAGTAGCAGAAACTGAAATACAGATATTATATAAATAGATAACCATAACCACGGTACAGAACAGAGGTCACAGAAGTGACAGTCAGAACAGAGGTACGGATTCAAGAGGTGGCTCGTACGAATTCTAGAGGTGGCTCCCACAATAGTGTAGCACTTAGTTCCGCACACCTCATCTTCAAGCCAAGCTATGCATTCTCTAGAAAGGGCACAACTGAAAGTGGGAGTGGAGGCCAAAAGTTCTTTTGTTCTCCATGCAGTGGAATACCGAGCTAGCTGTGTGCCTCGGATCGGAAATGAAGCTGGGTATTCTATCTCCTCTTCCGGGCAAGTCTGGTTATGTCCGAACTGACGCCTGAATCGAAATGGGAAGCAGAAGACACAGTGTGTTAAGCCAACCAACTGAATGCCAAGCTGCCGGGACATGCTGTAACTCATCTCAGGTAGATCAAACCAAGGGCAGCGCCAAGCAATGTCAATAACAGATCTGTTGCACATCCAGTGGCACCACCATCCCTCGTTTGGGAAGTCCGTGGACGGAAGAAATAGTCACACGCTAAATACTCGGGCCAAGCATCCACTACTTTCAACTTATCCATCAGCCATACTTGGGGAGGGATAAAAAATAAGAGAGATTAAAGAATAGAGAGGTGCACGTCGAGAGAAAAAGTAAGAAAGGCTTTTGAGAGAAAAACAAAGCCTGAGGGCCGAGTAATGTGAGAAACACATGTGAGAAGGATGGGAAACATTACCTGTAAGAGTAGTGGACTTCCTACGAACTTG